TTTAATTATATATATATATATATATATACATATATATAGATATTGTTTTATACAATTATATTTTTTTTCAACAAAATGAATTTTTTTTATTATTTCTTTATTTATTATTATTTTATTAATTACTACTATATTATTATAAGGTTTGATTACTATTATATTTTTTTATATATTTATTTGAATTGTTCTAATTTTATTTGAATGAATTATCAATAGAATATTTTTGTTTTGAAGATAATTATCTTTTTGCTCTTGCTAATTCTAATTATTTATTATTTATATTTAAATTTTTTCTTTTTATATAAAATCTGATTTAGTTATTTATTTGTTTGGATTAATTATATATTGTTATAATACTAAATTTTCATTTTCAATTTTTTATTAATTTTAATTTTTTTTTTTAAATTTATTATTATTAATTTATAAATTATTAATTTAATTAATATTTTTAATTTAAAGTATTTAATTTTCTTTATCTATTTTTTATTTCCTATTTGTTTTTAAAAAATATATAAAAATAAATAAAATTGATTGATTTTCAAAAAAAATATATAAAAGTATTAATTATAAAAAAGTTACATATTAACCAAAAATCCTTTATATGAAAATGAATTATTTTTATTATTTTTTTATTAACTTTATGGAGTATTATTTAAAAGTATTTAATTTTTAGAACTTTAATCATTGATATTAAAAAATTATTTGTTTTTATTTTAAATTTAATTTCGATAATTATTATTTTTTAAATTCAATCCTCTATGTTTATTTTAATTTTTATTATTACTATTATCTTATAAAATATTAAACTTTAAATAATTTAAAGTTTCATCTTTTTAATCTTATTATTTTAAATTTATATATTATTATACTTATTATTTTTATTATTATTATAATAATTATTAATTTTATAATTTTTATTGTATTTATTATTGTAAATTTTATTATTATTGTTGTTGTTATTATTATTATTATTATTATTATTATTATATTATTATTATTATTATTATTATTATTATTTAATCATCATAAACTTCTGAAAGATTAACTTCTTGTTCTGTTTTTTGATAAAAATTATAATTTTTTAATGAAGGTGTATTATATGTTTACTATTATTAATTAATATTAAAGTAATTTTCATTAATAATTTAATATTCTTTATTATTTGGAATAAGATCCTATTCATTAGTCTAAATTTCAATTTATTTTATATTTTTTTTACGAGTTAAAATTTCATTAAATTTCATATTTCTATTATTTTCATCATATTTATCTTCTTTAATATTTTTAACTATTTTTTTTTTATCGTTTTCTTTTTTTATTATTTTTTTTTCAAATTTTTTTATAGACTATTCATTTTCTTAATTTTTTTATATTTTTTAATATTCTAAATATTCTATTGATTCTTTTATAAAATCATAATTTTAATTTTTTTGTTATTCTTAAAATATATCTTATCCATAACTAGTATGTACAAATTCTAATTCAGGTTTAAAAAATACTTTATTCTATTTATTTTCTTTTATGCTATTCATTTCTTAACTTTAACATTCCCAAGATTCAGGTATTATTTAACTTTATTTATCTCCAAATGCTTATATTAATTAATTTTAATAATTTGAAAATTTTAATTATAGAATTCCTTATATCTTTTATTGTTTTTATTTTGTGTTTTTTTATTTATATTTTTTGTTTACATTTGTGTTTATTGTACTTTAACCACTGGTGTTTATATATATACTTGAATGAATATTTTATTATTTTGGCTATTTTAGTTACTTTTTTCCTATTTAAATGCTATTTGATTCCATTGTACTTGTTTATTGTTAAAACATTTTTGTGTATATATTGTTTTATTTAAATTTTTTTTTTTTTAATAAATTTTTTATTTGTTTATTAATTTTTTTTTTTTTAAATGATGCTTTTTTTTTTGAATAATAAATAAATTAAGTTAAATATAAAAAAATTAAATTATTCAATTTATTTTTTATTAGATTAAAGTATTAAATAATAATACAAACAAATTAATTTTAATAAAATAAAAATAAAAATTTATAATAAAACAAAAGTGAAATATAATTATGAGTAGAAACAGTGAAAGTTGTATTTTAAATTTAGACTATTATAAAGAAATTAAAAGTAGATAAAAAAAATACTAAAGTTAATATTATACAAATAGATAATAAAATTCAAGAAAACAACAAATTTTAACAAGATCAAATATAACATAATAAAAGAGTTTCACAATCATTACACAAAACGAATTCTTTTTAAGAAAATAAGTAAAAAATACGAAATTTTGAACAATCTATATATATATATACATATATATAAAATAAATATAGTAAAGTAGAATAATTAAACTAATTTATAAATTTTATAAATCATTTATGTAATTTCGATTCTTTAAAAAAATCTAAATATAATGATGAAATCTATAAGTTATTATAAATAGACTATTAGGTCCTTTAGAAATTTACAAGTGAATAATCTAGAAAAGAATATATAATAAAGAGTTTAATTAAAAATAATAATTAAAGTTTTTTTTTTTTTCTTTTTATAAAAAAATAAATTAATAATATTTTTTTTTTTTTTTTTTTTGTAAATTATAAAAAGATATTAAAGGAAATTTAGAAAATTAAAAAGTTTACAAAAAAAATTTTGATAATGAAAAATTTTTTTTAGATTGGATTAAAATAAAAACTTTTTATTAAAATTTATAAAAGAAAATCAAATTTAGATTAATAGATAATTTAACAAATAATAAAAATTTAAAAAATGTTTAAGAATATCTTAAAAATAAATAATAAAATTCCAAAAAAACATTAAAAATTGAATTAAATCCTTTTTCTGAACGAAATACACCATCTAAAACTGTATTTTAAATTCGAAAAGAAGGCAAATTAGAAGAATTTAAATGGAACCAAAATATTGAGAAAATGTACAAAAAAGGATAAACTGAAAAAAAATATGAAAATAAAGGAAAAACTAAGGAATAATTCAAATCATAAAAGATATTGAAACTGAATAAAATATAAAAGAATATAGAGAAAGTTTAATATAGAAACACTAAAATAATGATTATTTGTCAGAAAAAGAATACAGTTTTATTGCTAAAACAAGTACTTTATTAATGAAAAATGTAGACAAGGATTATATATTAGAAAGCCTGAAGTTTTTAGATCCAGAAATATTTTAAAATATAGAGTTTTAAGTGGCTGAGGAAATTATAAACAGCTTTACAAAAGTAGTTTAATTTGTAAAAGAAAAAAGACATAAATATTTAATATAAAATTTATAAAAAAATAAAGAAAAAAATGTAAATTAAAAATTCTGTTAAGAAAATTTTAAAAAAAATTAATGAAAAATAAATTAATAGAAATATTAATGGAGAAAAAGAATAAAAACAATCAAGATAATATAAAACTTACTTTAAAGAAACCAAATTATTTGCTTTATAATTTCGTTGCTGGTTTAGCGTGTAAATTGGAATTAAATTAAAATTTAAATTAATGTTCTTTTAGATAAAAAAAATAAAGATCACTTTATTAAATAAATGATTTATAAGTAACTTCTTCTATTTAAAAAGAAATTTTTCATCCATCAAGAGAGATTTTATTAAAAAAAAATTAAAATAGTAATATTAATATAACTAATAATAACAATAATAGTAATAATAATAATAATAATAATAATAATAACAATAATAAAAATAATAATAATAATAATAATAATAATAATAATAATACTAATAATAATAAAAATAATAATAATAATATTAACAAAATAAAATCTAATAATAATATTATTATAAATAATATTTATTAAAATAATTTTAGTATTTTTAGTAATTATAATAATTAAAATAATTAAAATAAAATTTATAAATATAACAATGCTAATATTATTAATAATACTAATAATAATATTAGTAATAATAATAACAATTTAAATTAGTAAATTCTTAACTAAGTTCTTTAATAAAAAATCATTAGATTTTATTTTCTAATTTCTATACTGGTGGACCTTTGTAGAAAGACTAAAATATATTAATTATAAAAAATGCTTTTTAAACTAAAGAAAATTTTAATGATTTAAAATTAAAAATTTAAAACTAAGCCTGTAAGATTATTTAGGCTTTTTTCAGATCATATTTTACTCGTAAACATTTAATCAATATATTAAATAATAATAATAATAATAATAATAATAATAATAATAATAATAATAATAATATTAAATATAATAATTTTAATAATAATCTATAAGAAATATAAAAAGAAAAAAGTATAATTTACCCTTCAAAATTTTAAGAAATAAAATAAATTATTAATTAAAATTCTTTTTTAAAAACTGGTAAAAAACCCAATTAATATTAAATTTTTAGAAAGCATTTTTTCCAAAAAGCTGAAAATATTAAAAGGCAAAATAAATGTGATAAAATCTCTTTAAATAATAGTATTAGATAAAATCTTTTAATATCAAACAGAATTTCTTAAACTTCTTTTTCTAACAAAAGAAGTCCTTTAAAAATTACTTATATTAATCCTACATAACTTTTGAAACATAAAAGGCTTTTAGATTCGGCTAAAAAGAATATACTAGATTACGTACTTTTTCGGGTTTTGTTTATGAAAAATAAGATATTAATGTTTAAGATGAAAATTAAAATACAGCTTTATATTATGCTGTGAAACATCAAAATATAGAATTCGTTAACTTTTTGTTGTCAAAAGGGGCTGATATTAATAAATAATGCTTTAAGGGAAATACAGCTTTACATATGGCTTTTAAAGTATAAAATGAATAGATTATTATGGATTTAATGTAAAATGGAGGAGATTTAAATATTCTAAATTAATATAATTAAAGCCCATTAGCTTTTGGAAATATTGAATTTTTAAAAAAATTGGACTATAAAAATGTATAGCATTTACTTAAGGAAAATCAATTACCGTTGAGGATAATAATAAATTATATTTTAATCAATATTTTTGTTAAAAAAAAGAGGAAGTTTATACATGAAAAGTATAAATAATTTTGAATTTTTTTTCCTTATTAAAATAAAAAATTTTATTAATAACTTTTCTTTTCTTTTTTTTTTTTTTACGAAATAAAAAAAAAAATATTATGTGAAAAATATAATAAATAAATTTATATCCAAAAATTTTAGTTTTAAGAAAAATTTATTTTTTTATTTAAAATTATATTTAATTAATTTTTGAAAAAACTAGGAAAATGGAAGAATATGAAAAAAAAAAAAAATGAAAATTGCTAAAAAGAATATATTATAATATATATATATATATATATATATATATAAATATATATATATATATATATTATATTCAAATAGATTCCTATTTAAATATCTATTTATATTTTTTATATATATATATAAAATTTAATTGAAGTTTTTGTCCTAAATTTAATATTGTGATTTCTAAACATAAATATTCCGATTTATTATCTTAAAAATGATAAAAAAAAATTATTTTAAAAATATATAATTATAGTTTGTGTAATAATTCAAGCTTTTTAATTCATTTTAATACATTAAAAAAAATTAAAACAAAGAGAATTCTCTTAAATAAACTAAAAATATATATAAAAAATAAATTTAACCTTAAAATATTTAAGAAAAGATAATTTTTTTTATTATTTTTTTAAAAAAAATAAAAAAAATATTTAAATATTTATTTTAATTTATTTCATATTATTTTTAATTAGACTAATAATATCATTAAGAAGAATATAAAATATAATGCTGTTGATAATATAAATGTATTAAAATATCCTATATTTCCTTTTCCTATACATTTTCCCATCCACACACAATGGTGGTCGTATTGAATTATACATACATCACAAAAATAGCAATGCTAAATTCCTTCTTATCTTATTATATTACATTAATTACAATATCTTTTATTATTTATTACTTATTCTGTTTTTTACTCTTAATAATTTATTGATATAATTCCTGGATTTATTAAGGCTGTAAAAATATAGGAAATTAAAGTGAAAATTGAAATCATTATTGATGCCAGAATATATATTGATGAAAAATTATTAATTATATATTATATTAATTAATAGGACATTATTATAAAAAACATTTAGCCTATTATAAATAAATACCCTTATTTTTTATTTTTATTTTGTATTTTTTATATTTTTTTACATTATGGACCAATAGTTAAGGTTGGTTCACCGTTTTTAAATAAAAAAAGAAAACTTTTTCCGAAATTCCTTTAGGCTTTTGGATTTTAATCTTGTATTGATATTTATTGAAATGAAGATTCTGATAAAAATATTGGTTATATTTTCATTTTTTTTTTTCTCTTTTAATAAATTTTATTGTAATTATTTTTCAATAAAAAATGATAAATTTAATACTTTTTAACAAGAAATAATTAAATAAATATAAAGTATGTTTATATATATATATAATAAATATTATTTAAATATTTTGAAATTATTATAAATTATAATATAAATTTATAAACAGTATTTTTATTAAAATAATACATTATTTGTTTTTTATTATTATAAAGAAAATAAAAGTTTTAATTATAAAATAATATTATTGATAAACAGTTTGAAAATATGGATATATTAAAGATTATATTTTTTTTAAATGTTAATAAAAAATATTAAATATTAAATAAAAAATAATAATAATAATAATAAATCTTAAAATAAAAATAAAATTTAAAAGAAATATTATAATATATATATATATAATATAATATATATATATATATATATAAATATATATAATTTTGATTTTATATAAAAATATATTTATTTATATAACTTTTTTTATTATAGATATTTTTTTTTTTAATATTATATATATATTATATTATTAAAATTTAATTTTAATATTCTTTTATTTTATATAATGTTATTATATTTATATGCAAATTAATAATTGTTATATTTTATCGTTTTTTATAAATTTATTCTATTAACTGTCTTTTAATTTAAATATTATTATTTTGATTGAAATTATTATTAATTTATATAAATTTTTATTTAAATTACTTTTTATTTTATTTTATTATTTAATTTATTAAGTTTATATAATTTTTTTATAGAAAATTTTTTTTATGTTAAATTTTCATATTTATTTACATACTACTAACTATTTTTATGTTTTTATAATATATATTTTTAATTATTTTTATTTTCATCTATATAATTTTTTTTCTAATTTTATTAATATTTGAAATTTTGACTGTATAAATAATATTTTATTTATTTAATAATATTTTATAAAAAATATATATTTATTTATGTATTATTTTATTTTTTTAAAAATATTTTTTATTAAAAATTTTCATGAAAATTAAATACAAAATAATTTAAATTTATTTTAATTGATAATTGTTAATATTTTCTATATATTTGTATTACAAAATATTAAATATATAAAAAAGAATTAAGATAAATATTTATTTTTAATAATAAAATTATAATTTATTATTTCATTATTTTAAAGAAAACAAAAGAATAAAGATAAAAAAATGCATTATAAATAAAATATTTATTAAAATATATTATGGGAAATTTTATTAATTAAATTATATAAAAATAATTTAAATAAAATGAATAAATATTTGATTTATAATTACGTAATATTGTAAATATTTTAAATTTTATAATTTTATTAAATTAAATAAACAATAATATTAACAATTTGAAAAAAATAAATATTATTTAATAAATATTATATTATTTCAACAATAATATTACATCTTTATTATAAATTATTTAAAAAAAAATATAAATTAATTTTATAAATAAAAAAAGTAAAAGAATAATAAAATAAAATAATTTAATTTTCGTTGTCGAAATTATGAATTTTTTAGATATAACAATTTAATAAAACTTAATTGAAGATTAAAATAATATATGGCAATCTTAAAATCCTAATGTTTTAATGAAATTAGAGTAAATTATTTATAAATTTTATAAAAATTAATATTTAAAAATACATATTAATTTAAAAATAATATAAAACAAATAATATAAAGAACTTTTATAATTTTTAATATATATATATATTTTATATATATTTTTAAAATTTTTAGATATAATGAAATATAAGTTTAATTAAATTAAAAATAAAAAAATTAGAATTGCGATGCTTAAAACTTTAAAATAAAATATAAAACAGAAGTAAAAAAAATAAGGATTTTATTTATAAATATTTAAAATATTAATAAATGGAATAAATAAAATTGTATATATATTAGATATGCAAATATTGGAGGTTTACAGGAAGATGTCATTTACAAAAACAGTGTAATAAAATTAATATATATATATATATATATATAATTATATATATATATTAATATACATTATAATGATATATAAAATATAAAATATAAATTTTTTAAAAAATATAAATTTATACATTTATTTTTTTAAATAAACTTTTTAAATATTTTATTTATTTAACATTATATTTTTATTCATATATCCTTTTTGTTTTACAAATATTTTTTTATTAGTGTGCTTTCGCACATGGTGAGGATGAAGTCAAATTAAAAACTCATTTACATACCAATTATAAAACTAAAAAATGTAAAAATTTTTATGAAAATGGTTTTTGTTTATATGGTTAACGTTGCTAATTTTTACATTTGATTTAATCTGAAAAGTATTTTTAATTATTTATATACTTTTTTATTTATTTTTATTTTAATAAATTATAAATTAAAGATGGAATAGTTCTTTTTCTTCTTGTTCTTCATCTTCTTCCATTTCAAAATATTAAAATGCTCTTTAAAATATTTCTGAATATTTAAGTGAATAATTTATTGGAAATGATAACTTATGTTAACGAAATAGGTTTTTAAATCATATTTATTTATATTTATTTCTTTAATATTTAGACTTTCTACTTTTCAAAAAATTACTTAAAAATGAAATTTTTCTTTTAATATTAATAAAAAGTTTAAAGAAAAAAAAATGTTAATACTTTTAATAATTATTTAAAATATATGAAAAAATATTTTAATTTATATTAAAATAAAAAAATATATTTTTTTTATATTTGTATATATTTATATATATATTATTTAAAAAACATAATTTTATATTTAATTAAATATATATTTTTATTTATATATATATTTAAAAAATTTAATATTATATTTATTATAAATAAAAAAATCTAAATATAGGAAACCCACTAAATCTGAAAATTAAATAATAGTTAATCCGGTTATGATAAAACATAATTAACTATGATTAAGCCTATAGAGTTGTATTTAAAATTATTTCTACTATATAGCTAAATCAAATAAATTGGCTACTTAAATTCATATGTAATTATTAAATTATAGTGTATATATACATAAAACAAATTAATTTAAAAAGATAATAAAAAATTTAAAATATAATATATATAAAAAAAAGTATATTATAAAAAATTAATTATATAATAAATAAAAAAATCTATTAAAAATATAAATATATATTATATAATAAATTTTTTTAAAATAAATCAATTATCTTTATAATTTCTTCCTGTATATTATTAAAATTAATTATATAATTAATCGAATTTATATTAGTCCATATCTTCTACATTTTAATAATCATTAATATTAACTTTTAATTTATTTTTAATATAATCAACTTTCATATTTTATACATAATCTTATTTATTTCCAATTATTTGTCCTAATTTATCTAAATCCATCTTTTTGTCTTTTAAAAGATTCATATTGTATATTTCTTCGACCAATTTACTGTTCTTAAGTTAACTTTCATTTTATAATATAGAAAAATTATTAATTGCAGAGTTATTTTGGAATGGGTAATTCATTACATGACTCTGATTTGACTCAAATTATCTATATATTTTATCTTTTTAAATTTTTTCTATTTATTTTGTGTTCATTAATTCTTTTTTAGCCTCTAGTTCGGCATTTTTTATTGCTCTATTTATATATTCTGGCTTTAAAATACCTTTTTAGGAATCTTCTTAGTCATAAATTTCATTATATAGTTAAGAATCTTCATCACTTTCAATATT